CAAAACTATGAACATTAAAATGGCAACAAATTCACAACTATCAACTCAATCTAAAACACAAACTAAGCAAACAAGCAAAAGAGGAACAGGATCACAGACATGGAGATCATGTGGAGGGTTATCAGCTGGGAGGGGGAAGGGGAAGGAAGGGAGAAAAGGTGAAGGGATTAAGAAGTACAAATTGGTAGGTACAAAATAGAAGAGGGAATATTAAGAACAGAATAGAAAATCAAGTAGCCAAGAATTATATGCATGACCCATGGACATGAACTAAAGTGGGGGGCTAGGTGACCGCTAGAGGGAATGAGGATATTGGAAGGAGATGTAAACAGGGGGAAAACCTGGAACTGTAATGGTATAATCAATAAAATATGTTTTTTAAAAAAACTGGAACGCTACAATCAGACAAAGTGGCCTTCTGGAAAGGAACTATACTACTAGAGATAAAGAAGTATATTGCAAATTTTTTTAAAAAACGGTTATTTCATGAAGAAAATGTAAATTTATAGAGGTAAATGTACCTAATAACCAAGCTTCAAAATATATAAGACAAAAACCAACAGAACTACAAGAAATAACAAATCCACAATTATGAATGGGAATGTCAATAATCCCGTCTTCTTTCAGTAATTAACAGAATAGGAAAATTATTAAGGATATAGAAGACATGAATTTTCAGTCAGCTTATCTTATTGATATTTATAAAGCACTAGACCCCAAAAGGTAAAGTATACATTCTTTTCAAATGTACACAGAACATTCTTAAAGAGAGACTATATGCTTGACATTAAAACAAATCTTATGAAATGTAAAAGTAATAAATGATATAAAATATGTTCTCTGAGTAAAGTGGCATTTAAGGAAAAAAGTAACGAAGTTATCTGGAAATTAACCTTATATATTTATATTAAACATAAATATTCCAAAATGTTTCAAAATTATACCACATACTTATAAATAATCATGGTTCCAAAAGAGAACTTACAGGAATAGAAAACACTTTGAACTAAGGAAAATAAAAACCCAGCATATCAAAATTTGTAGGATGCAGTAGAAAAAATTAAAAATTTGAATAGCACAATATCTTTTTTAAAACTGAATTCATAATTAAAAACTTTCCCATAAAGTAAAAGTACCAACAAATAGCTATAATGATGAAACCCATCAAACACTTGGGAAAAAAATAATACTAATCTTATACAAACTTTTTAAAAAGGAGGGAATCCTTTCCAACTCCTCAGTTTTAGTCATCTGACAGTAGCTGTCTTTCAAATAATTTATACATTTCATCTAAGTTACTTATTTCCTTCCTTTACCCTCTTGGGGTTTACTCTAAACAAAAGGTAATAGGAAAAAAAACTTTGGGGATACTACTAAAGCTGTGCTTGGAGGTAAATTTATAGCATTAAAAACATTACATTAAAAATATCTCAAAGCACAATACTAAGTATGGTGAAAATGTCCTAATTTTAATACACTGCTAGATAGTAATCTGGAACTATCTAGTAAAGCTGCACATGTGCATTATCACTACCACCCAATAATTTTTCTTCTGATGTGGCAGGAAGTCTTCTAACATGGTCCCCAATGATCTCTACTCTCTAGTATTCATACTCAGGGGTAACTCCCTTCCCTTAAGTGACTTACTTTTAAGAACAGAAGAGAGCAAAAGTGATGAGATAACTTTTGATATTGAGATTAGGTATCAAAGGACTAGCTTCTGCCTAACTCTTACTTTGTCTTTTTATTTTTATTTTTTTTACTTTGGAATAGCAAGTTGCTGAAGCAAGATGCCCTACAGAAAGATCCACATGGCAAGGAATTGAGGGCAGCCTGCAGCCAACAACCAGTGAGAAAGCCAGGCCCTCATCTCAACGGCCCAGGAGAAACTAACTCCAGCCAAGAACCATCTGAGTGAGCTTGGAAGCAGATTTCATCTCTAAAAGATCACTGCAACATCTACCAATACCTTGAAAGCAGCCTTGGGAGAGCCTGAAAGTGTCCGAGGACCCAGCTATGCCACACCCAGATTCCTCACTAACAGAAAATGTGAGATAAATCTTAGTAATAATAAATGTTGTTTTAGGCTGCTACACACACACACACACAAACAAAGTCAAGAAAAACAAATGAAACCCAGCATAAATAGAAGGAAAGAAATAATAAAAGAACAAAACTAATGAAATAGAAGAGTCAGCCAATACAGAAAAACCAAAGTGTGGCTTTTGAAAATAGTAACATTAAAAGGCTCTAGCTAGACCAACGAGGGGAGAAGAGAGGACACAAATTACCAGTATCAACACTGAAAATATAGCCCTGGCTAGTTTAGTTGAGTAGATTTCAGTGCCAGCCTGTGAACCAAAGGGTCGCCAGTTCGATTTCCAGTCAGGGCACATGCCTGGGTTGTGGGCCAGGTCCCTCGTTAGAGGCATGTGAGTGGCAACCAATGGAGGTCTCTCTCATACATCGACATTTCTCTCCCTCTCTCCCTCTCTAAAAGTAAATAAATAAATTTTTTTTAAGAAAAGACTAAAAATACAGAAATCATTACAGATCCAAGGGAAATTAAAAGGATAAGGTAAAATACTATGAACAACTTTATGCCCATAAAATTTACCTGAAATATAGAAATTCTTTGAAAGATCCAAATTCAACATTTATTCATGTTACCAATAAATAGCAAATGAGATACTGAAAGGAATTTTCCGAACCTGAAAAAAAGGCACGCTATGACCCTAAACTGACTGAACATGTTTCCTGTCTTCAAGAAAATTCCAACCTAAAAATATGAATTTAATTCTCTTTCATATGGCATTTACCCAATAGAACAAACACTAGCAAAATTAGGTTTGGGTTCCAATATAAGTTTATCACCTAAGTACCTGTGTGGAAATTTGGCATTCATTCAATATTTTGAAGAAATTATTGTGTGTCAAACACTGGAAACCAAATGTCAAAAATCCCTGCCCTCATGAAACATTCTAGTGAATCACTTAATCTGTAAAAACAATTCAGTTTTCTTTCTCTAAAATAATAGTTTTCACATTTAAGGGTATTTTCATATTAAAAAAGAAATCCATATTATTTTTCTGAACCCAGAAAAGCAATTTATGGAACATAACCTGAAATCCACTCTTGGCAATGACTAAAACTATTTGTTGTATCTCATTCAGACAGCAAACAGAGAAAGATAAGTAATTGATATTTCTGAAGGACTCATTTAAATACACTAATTTTGGTTTATATAATCCAGAAAAATATGAGCCTTATTGGCCTATTACTTGGTAACTAAACTTCCTCAGATGGGATCCAAGGAAGCAGAATTTAGGAGAAATCTCTCCATATAATGAATAATTTTACAGACATTTGCAGTATTTAAGACTTTAAGATTGCCTAGTGAATCAACTAATCAACTTATCTTTGCTTCAGAGTAGAATCTGATCTTTGTTTTTAAAGTGCTTGCTGCAAAACAGGTAGTCAGAAATCCAAATCATGTATTCAAATCTAGTTCCTGTGTCTAACATTCAATTTTTTTTTTATTTAACATCAAAATACATGTTTCTCCACAAGAAAACAGGCATGACAATCCTTCAAGCACAATTACTCAACTCCAAATGGTAAGTTTTTTAAATGTGTCATGTATTCATTTTTCCCCAGAAATAACTCTACAATCATGAATTACATTTCTGATAACACCAAAACATTTAAAGTATCCCTTCCTGCTGTTTCTCATCTCTAAGTATCATACCCAGATAAGAAAATGACTTAAGTATACCAGAAAAAAAGGGGGGAATCCCACCACGAGACCCCCCTCCCATTTATTTTCTAGTCTTAAAATATGTTCAGAGTTTGCCAAAGCAAGCTAACTCCACCAGCTTCGAAAGTCAGTACAAGCAATAGTTCCCAATTACGTAATCTTGGACATACTATTGTTAATCTCAAATGCTCTATGCTGTACTTAATGCTTATTTTTTAAGGTTTTAAGAATATGAGCGCCACCATCAGGCCCAGTGAGTACAAATGCGGAAGTGTGGAAACTGCTAGAGAAATGATAGACAAAAACTGGTGTAACAACTTTACATAAAATACATACAATAAAAACATGAATTATTCCTTTCTATTTTCTACAGTGATCCGAACTAAATGGCTTCTAGAACTAAGTTCTCACCTCAGCTATACCAAACACTAAACTGTTGTAGGGAAACTTAAAACACCCATTTATATTTTAAAAGTCTCATATTGATGAACATTGTTTACTTGATTTATACTTTAGGATCTAATAAGGGGGAAGACTTGATAGGACTAAAATGACACACTTATTAGAAAAATTGTTACTATGAAACATTAATTATCCAGTTCTCCTGTTCACCTCTTAAACAGTACCTTCATTACTGGCAGCTAGGTATAGTGAAAACAAAAAGTCAGGCTCTAGAACCAGGAAGACATGGATTTGACCTCTGGTGTACCACACCTCAAATAGAAACTTTCTGAACCTATTTTTTCATCTTTAAAATGGGAATATTAATATCTACCTTGAAAAACTGTTATAATTAGTGAAAATACATGTAAAGCAGCTGGCACAAAGAAGGAATTAAACTTCAGCTGCTGTTTTAATTTTATTACTTACAAAGACATACAAGATAAAATATAAAAAAGGACATGACAGCAAAATAAATCAGAATCTGGATTACATTTAACTGCTAAAACAAAACAAAACAAAACAAAACAAACATACATCATGATAGTTCAAATAAAACTCTGGGCTAAACTTTTTGTTCACATTTTAGTTACACAAGTTAATATTGTAGCTCTACTTAATAAACATGTAAAACCCAAAATTAGCTACAAGAGTACTTATTTTGGAGCTAAATAAAAAAAAATACTATTACAACACAGTAAAACGTGTAAGTTTATGAAAAGGTGAAATGATTTCACCATTGGAAAAAAATGCCAAAACTAAGATTTAAAAATGCTATGAAAGGATAGTAAAAGATTCCTACCTTTAAACCGACTGCTATAAGATCTGTAACAACACTGTATGGAAAAAGTAAAAGAGAAAATGGAAAACAAAGTTAGAGAACAAGTTTTTAAAAGACAGATAATAAGATTAAAGAAAAAAGAAAAAGCATTATAACAACAAATAATAAAAATAAGAATGTGATGAGTTGTGAAATGCTAATACAAAGAAAAGTGACGAGACAGTCTAGCAACAGCAGAGTGTAAAAGCAAAGCTTCAATAGAAATGTAAGAAATGATTAATAAATCAAATTCTCTTTTAGTATTTAGAAAAGTATTTAAAAAGTACAGTTGTGCTTCATAAAATGAGTATGTTTATCCATTTAACAAGTCCAAATCAAAATTTAAAATCACCAAAGTTCATTCTCTTAAATCACTGGTAAAAAATGTTTAAAATTTTAAATGAAAAAAAAAAACACCACCATTAAGTGGATTTAAAGAAATAGAAGGTATTTTTGCAAATTTGCATCTATCACCCCCAAGAGCTCACCAAATACAGCTAAGATGGTCTCTCAAAACTCATCAAATTTCAAATATCAAAATTTTCAAAGATTTACTTTTGAAAAAAATTCTAACACATCAAAACTCTGTTGGGGGAATCACTTCATAAATTATATAATTGTCTAACCACTATGTTGTACACCTGAAACAAACATAAAATTTAAAAAACAGTAATAGTAAATTTAATTTTAAATTAAACATTTAAGTAAAAGTCAACTATGGAAAAACTGTTTAAATGTAAATTATCTCAGGAGGAAATGAACACATACACACACACACAACAGTTGGGATCTGAAGAGGAACTAGAAATATTTGTTGATTGGTGGTTTGTTGTTTTTTAACTATTCAAAACAATGAAAAAGGATCTTTTTTCAGGCTGTGGAAAATGTAGAAATGTAATTAGCCACCTGAAAACTAAAATTCACTGTGTTCAAAACCACATTCCTTAACACCAAGGTGTAAAGACTGCTGTGAAGTTCTGCCAAACAAAAATCCATCTCTTCTAACTCCAAAGAAACTGTTTTCAATGAAGTCTGTCTCCATAGCTCCCAAAAGAAAGCTATAATTAAATTCTATCTATTGTTAATAACCTACCATAATATCATTACTTAATAAAAGTAAACATTAATGACTCTGGACTGCTTAATGATGCAAATATAATGGTTTTGAATGATAACCATGTAGATTTATTTTTTATCATAGACTTTTGAAACTTGAAATTCATTTGATAAAATTTAAATGTAATAAATAATTGATGACTGTGCATAAAAAATAAGACTGTACTATATTGTGGTACTGGTCCTGCTACAAAGGTAAATCATGTACCTACTGGAACTCTCAAATGAATTTATCTTCTTGTCTCTTATTGCCCCACATATTTAAACCATTAAACTCATTCTTAGCTTTAAAACCACGATAGAGTGAGGAGAATTAACTTCTTTAAAACACTGTCCAAAACAGTAAGTTTGCACATCATGTTACCCAAAAGTTTAGCAGACACGATGCATAACCCAAGAGTCCTCTATATAACCCCTATAAATTTTCCAACACAAAAAGCTAACCTGCTTCCATATCTCAAATCAAACGATCTTACAATTCACTACTTATGATGATACTAATTTCACAGCCTTTCTAGCTAAAAATACAGGGTCTGGCAGAAGGAACGCCTGCTTGAATATGGTTGGTAGGGTAATAATGTGGGTGTAGTAATTTATAATTCTAACTTGAATATTTCACCTAAAATGTCACATGGTGTGCTTGAGTGTGATATTATTATGTTACAGAATTACATACATGCTTATGATTTTGTGGTAAAAAAGGGATTTTTTTTTTTGTGCCAGACCCTCTATGTGGCATAATTACACAAATTTAAGTAGCAAAATTTTGCACACATATAAAGTGTAACTGATTAAGATGATGTGAAATTAGTTTCAACAAAGCTTTCAGAGTAGTTTCAATTAAAACAAGAGTTTCAATAAAAAATACTTTAAAGAACATCCAACCATAAATGAAACATAAAACTGAACTTTGTCTAATCTCTGTAGCAGTGCGCAATACGCATTCAAATGAGTTATTCCAATAAATCATGTATGATTTAAGTGTATACACTTAATATTATGAAACTGGGATAAATGAAATCTGGATAAATGACATCTAATGAAGGCGAAAATCGTTTTAAGATTCCATCGTCTTTACACAGCATGACAACACTCATCAACTACATGGCAACATGTACCCGGCTTTTACTGTTCAAGCATGTTCTACATATTTTCTACAGCTTAAAGATTGACAGAAATCTTGACATCAAAATCAAGTAAAAGTCCAAACAAAACCTCGAAAGCCTAATGGGAATAAATAAGTGGACTGGCAGGTTCTAACAGACCTGGAGATCTTTTTAAACTCTCGATGTACATACACCACGACCTTCAATTAAGTCACAAAGATCGTAATCCAGCTGTTTCCATAAACATTAAAATATCCATCAGGTACCACCCCACACCACTGGATTCCCAAGAGAAATATTTATATGGGTAGTTCTAAATCTCTTTATTTTCACCATAGACCTCATTATCTTTTGGAACTACCCGAAAGATAGCATTTTTGAAGGCTACCCGAAAACTGCATTTACACAGTCATTTTACATTTATGGCAGAGAATTCACGAAGTTGGGGGCGGGGGCGGGGGGTGTCCACGGTCGTCAAGTCCAGACCTCTGGTATACAGAAATCGTTAACACAGTTCGTATCACAAGTCCGGAGACCTCGGCCGCTTTCCCCGCATTCCCAGATCCCGCGTGGAGCCCTGGCTTCGGGACCAGGTCGCCGCCCAGACGTGCACCGACGCGTGCACTCGCCCTCCGCCACTCCGCGGCCACTCGCCTCCCCGCTTAGGAAGCTCCAGCGCTCGCCCCACCTCACCGGTAAACAGCAACTACCCAAGCAGAAGGACGCCCGCCCCGAACGCCGCCTCCGCCTCCCCCAGCGCCGCGCACCATTTTCTGAGAGGAAGTGTCGGGAGGCCGGGCAGGGCTCCACGACCCTCAGCGCGGAGGGCGGCCCGCGGCCCCTAGCCCCCGGCGGCAACACCGGGTTTTCCTCCACTTCCCTGTGTGAGGGGCGGATATTACGGGGGCGCCCCGTGGGGGAAGGCGAGGCTGAGACGGCCCGCCCCTCCGCAATTCGAGCTCCCCTAGGAGGCGCCCGGAAGCCCCTCCGTCGGGCTTGGCCGGGGCCGCTCCTCCAGCCGCGGGTGCCGCGCCCAGCTCCCGGCCTCAGCAAGTCCGGACGAAAGCCGAAAGGAAGCGGGGCAAACGCCGCCCGGCGCGGCGACCGTGCCGCCCAGCACTTACCCATCCATGGCCCAGACGGTGGAGCGCACAGTGCGGGGACTGACGGGCTCACCGCGAGCGGAGAGAGGGAGTGGCAGCAGCAAGGCGGCTCCGGGGAACGGGCGAACGAAGCCTCTCCACAGCCCCGGCGCGTTGGAGGTGGAAGGAGAGTGGGAAACAGGGGCGGAAACCAGGGACGCTCCCGCCACCGCCGCGCCCCCGCCTTCCCCCACCCGCAAGCGCGTCCCCGCCTCGCCTCACCCCGCCCCTTAGCGTCGACGCCCTCCCTTGGCCCCGCCCCCGGCCGGCCTCCGGCTCAGCTCCAGAGTGCCCTCTTCCGGCAGTCTTCCTAACACCCCTGCCTCGTGCTTCTCATCCGGGCGGGCGCGGGCGCCCCGCCCCCTCGAGTCCCTCCGGCGGCGTTCACGGGAGCGCGCTCCTTGTGCTTCCCGCTTCGCCGCCGCGCCTTCCCTCCCTCAGCATCCGCTGGCCTTCGGGCTTCTTAGACCAGGGCCGCCTGGCTTGGATGACTCTCTCTTCTGGCGGAGAAAGTGTTGGAACCCGACTCGGAAGAGTAGGTAAGAAATCCCACGAGAACCTACGGACCGCAGCGTAATTGCCCCGGTGGGTGAGGCTGTCGGTGCCTCGGCCCCAAGCATGAAGGCCAGGCTTGAGCCGTCCTCGTTGGAGCCCTGGGCGCTGCAGTTCGAGGAAGCCCGGGCTCGGGACCCTAGCGGGGACGAACTCCAGCCAGTACGGGACCGCCGGCTGCCCGCTCGCAGGCGACTCTGGGACCCGCGCCGGCCCAATAGGTGTGGTTGGGATTAGAATGAATGAGATTGAAAGAGACTGTTCCGAATTTGAGAACATCGGATTTTTTTTGTAACAGTTTTAGTCTTCGGGGGCTTTTCGACCCGACAGTCTGAGATTGAATTTATATGAAATTTTTATTACACAATATGGAATGGCCACTCTAATGTCAGCATTTTATAAAAGTTTTTCACTTTCCTCCATGTAAAAAAACAAACATCAAAAGCCTATGAGAAAGTGAGGCGCATATTCAAATAAAAATTTAGACACGAATACGGTGATTTGCCTATAATTTCACAGCCACTAGAGCCCTTTCCTCTACTTTGAGCAAAATTTAGAGAGAGATATAATTTTACATAAAAAACAAGCGAGTTGCCAATATATTCATCTATGCGAGTTGATATATTGGCAACTTTTTTTTTCCTCTTCTATTCTAGTTGTGAAATTGGGTGATTTTTCAATTCACAGATCACCAAAACGTGAGCCACTAAACCTTGTCCTTGACCAAATTCTTAACCTCCTGAAGAAAGGGCTGCTCCCTCTCTGCCTCCTCATTTGAAAAGCAAGTAGGGCGCCCTGGATGGTGTGGCTGAGTGGACTGAGTGCCGCCCTGCGAACAGGTTCTCGAAACGTCACGGGTTCGATTCCCATTCAGGGTACAGGACAGGGTGGCGGCCAGGTTCCCAGGTCGCACCGTTGTTCCTCTACCTCTCTCTCTTCCTCCCTTCCCCTCAAAAAAATAAAATAAAATCTTAAAAAAAAAAAAAAAAAAGCAAGTAAGGAGAACCTCGGGTAATGAGACATACCTATCCTTGATAAGATGCCACTCTTAAGTAACTGGGTGCTACTAAAAAGAGTTAAACTATCCTTCCATTATTCCTTCCATCCATCATTCAGTCAGTATTTATTGTTTACTATGTGCCAAGCACTGCAGAAGTACCCAAGAAAATCAAGTTCCAGCTTTCTTGGTTGAATGGATTCTGTGTTCACCACATGGACCTGGCTTTGCATGAAAGCACTACTGGCTTCCTGATTGTGAAGAACGTAACACATTCTGTATTTGCTAATTTCTCTATACTTTTGAAATGTAAGGCAGTTATAATAATTTGGTTTGTAAATTATCTAACATTTTTGCCTTCCTTCTGTTTTTATTCTAATTTGTCTAAGTAATTCCTCTGAAACACCTTCATTCACCCCCACCAACTATTACTATGTTTGGACAAAATACAACCTTTGAACATCTCCTTAAGGCATTCTAGTATGCAGTGGTAGTTAATATTTAACCAACATTACCCTACTCATATTTACAGTTAATATTTCTTAAGATACAAAAGTAATACAAAAATGCCAATATAGGTTAGAAATAAGACCAGTTTTTAGGTAAATCTAGGATGTAGACATTTTGGTATTATTTTATCCCATGACAAGTATAAAATCATCATTATTAACCTGTATTCCCTAAAATAGAAACATTTGAAGTTTTACTGAGAGAAAAAAAGCTAAACTCAAAAGGCTCCATACTGTATGATTCCAATATATAACATTCTCAAAATGACAAAATTATAGAGTTGGACAACAGATTAGGGCTTGCCAGGTATGGGAGGGTATGGAGAGATGAGGGGATGGGTATGACTACAAGGGAGTAGCAAGAGGGATGTTTGTGGTAATAAAACAGTTCTGTATCTTGATTATGGGATATAACATGTAATTATGTTTATACATATCCACACATGATAAAATTGCATAGAATTGTAGATGTATACGCAAGTGCATATACAACCAGCAAAATCTCAGTAAGATTTGTGGATTGTACCAATATTGATTTCCTGTTTTGTTACAGTTATTAAGGTTTTACCATTGGAGGAAACTCGGTGAAGAGTACACAGGACTTCTTTGTACTATTTTTTAAACTTCCTGTGAATCTAAACGTATTGCAAAATAAAATCTAAAAGAAGAAATCTTGCAGTGTTTCCTTAATACTTGTTGCTTGTTCAGTAGATAAGCAATAACAAACTTAAAAGCTTTCATGAAAATGTGTGGGATTATAATTCATGTTTTTCATGCTCTATCACCTTGGTAAATCAAACTAGGTTAAAACAGCTGACACATACAGTCTGACAGACTTTGTCCAGTCTGTTGAATTACGAGTCTTCCTTCAAAGTCCTTCCCAAACTATTTGAGAAGGCTTAAAAGCATATCCTACATACTCACTGACCTCTCTACCACTATGAGTCATGTCCATTTTCCTCCTCCTGTGAGTGGCCCTAATGTAATCATATCTTTGTAAAGCTCCTAACATGTCCAATGCCTCGGTCAGAGAACACTGTTTGCACTAAAGGTGCTGTCTCCTGTCACTGTTCTGTAGTAGGAGTTGACAGCCCATGCCAATTTTCTGGAGCACTTTTCTGAAGAGGAGAGAATTCCTTTCCTGTCTTTTTGCCCTACTATATTACCTAGGTTCCAGTTTTTCAGCTTTTAATAAAAACAGCCCTTCCCATTTTTATGCACAAAAAAATCCTTTAGGATTTAGGCACGAGTCTGTTGGACAAGGCCAGGTAGCAGTCTGAGCAGTAATCATTGTATCAGTCCTCTTAACTGCTTAGCTTTCATCCTTTTTTTTAAATGGAGAGGCTTTTTAAAAAAAATTTATTAATTTGAGAGAGAGAGAGAAACATCTATTTGTTGTTCGACTTGTTTATGAATTCATTGGTTTCTTCTTGTATGTGCCCTGACCAGAAATCGAACCTACAACCTTAGCATATTGAGACAACATTCTAACCAACTGATCTATCTAACCAGGGGAGCTTCTGTCTTTAAAACTGGTACATCCCACTAGAGGGTGGGTTCTTCCTAGGTGTTTCTTTGGTCCCACTTAGAAGTAGATCTCTTGGAAATAGAGTTCGTCATACCTCTTCAGATGTGCTTGAATATATTTGATCTTGCTTAATCGCAAGATGAGACTTCCCCACCACTCCAACAAAGAGAAAATCCTATTCATTAACTTTACCAAAGAACTAGAAAAGAGGGCACAATTTGAGTTAAGGAGAGCAACACCTGTGCCTCGGGGTTAAAATGAAAAGTACCGTATGGTGGCAAAGAGTGTAATCTAGAACCAAATTTACTAGTTAGAATCTTAAAAAACTGTGAAGCAGTGTGCAGCGTTATATTGCCCTGGCCCAGCTTCTGGTAGAGAGGAATTTCCCAGCCATTCCCATCCACTATGTGTTGCCCCAGGAGGAGAAGCTTTTCTTGGTATCAGCAGTTTAAAGATGTTCAATGATGAAATCTTGCAGCTATCAACCTATTTGGCTGAAGCATGGACATCAAGTTGTTAAATATTGCCTTTAACAATGACATATGCAAGTATTCTAACACGTACCTGCATCCTGTGGCCAGAGCAGACCATTTTGGCACCAAGGGGTTGGCCATCATGTTTGTGTCAGATGAAAATACTAAGATTGATCCTCAGTGATATGGAGAATCACTATGAGGTCAATATTAGTGAGCTGCTTGATATGATAAACATCTGCATTGAACAGACATGACAGAGGACTCACCTGCCCATCCTAAATGTGCCATTCTCTGTCCCTCTTCTGTAGATGACTCTGGGTATGGGATGAAGGAGATACTATTGTCACCTACCCGGCAATCCCCGCCCCATGGCTTCCGTCTTGCATCACCACCCCTCCTAAAATCCCATTTCCTGATTTGTTAGAATTATTTTTTAACAAAGCTGGAAAAAAATGTTTATAGACCAACACTAGCTAAAAATGAACTAGGATAAGTTACTTAATCTCTCGGTGGTGCAGCTTCCTGAACTATAAAGGGGGGATAATAAATAGGACTTATCTAATAGCTTTGTGGGAAAATTTAAATGAATTGATACATAAAAGGTACACATGGTAAGTGATCAATATGTTTATACTTATTATTTTGTATTACTATTACAAGTTTACAAAGCAGCATAATTCCTTGAGGATATCATTGGAGAATCATGTATTTAGAGTGGACCATGGCTCAGCACCAGCTGATCTGTAAACTGCTACTAGTCCAGTAGCATTCAGAGAGGAACTAAGTGTCTGGCATCAATGCCAGAGCTGGGGAACAGCTTTCTCCCAGACAGAAAGCTGGGCAGAGGCCACTGTTCCTTTTCTGAACCCTCCCCCAACAGAGCCACAGAGTAGGCAGGCAGAGTGCCATATCTGCGACTCCATCAACCTGTTTAACACTGTTTGTCCCCCCCCCCCCCAGAGATCCCCTGAGACTCCGTCCCACCCAACTTATGTGGCTCACCCAAGCTGTTAACAGTGACTTTTCCATATGAATGGCTGGTCTTGGTTCATGCTTCACAAGTTCCTAAATCCTCTCAAGCAACAGCTGGCCTCAGGGAGCCTCCAGCCCCCATATCTCTTGCT